TCTGATGGCACTGGCATTGCAGGCATTGCAGTATCTCTTCTGAGTAACTTCCTGATAGTAGAGACTTGCACCTGAACTAGAGACAATGAGACCAAAAGCATAGTTTATTTTCTTCCTTTCATTGTTTTAAAGGGTAGAGAGTTGGTGGTATCATTGTTCTCTGTTACAAAGGTGGTTATTTGCAGAATGATTTGGTCAACTGTGCACTATGATTTTCTGAAAGTCTGTTTGCTTAACCTGCATTTTTACCTGAATTTTTGTACAAGACCTGTAGTTTGCTTGAACCAGAAATTAAAGCAGAGCATGCATCACCTGAGAAAAGGGAGGGAGGTTCTGGTGAATCTCATCTAGTATTATTTCATATGGTTCTTCTTGTGTTGCAGCTGCTTCCTTCATAAAAGCAGACCTTTCCCAACCTACCTCCCAGCAGATTCCTAGTCTGATGGGTCAGATGCACTACCCTTGGCTTTGCTCACTAATTCTCTCCTGACTCTTATTGGACTCTCCTTCCATGTAAGGACCTCCAGCATATAGCTCACAAGATAGCACCTCAGCACTGTACTGACTTGCTGTCACTGGGTAAAGGTTTGCTGCATGCAAGGATTAGAGCATTCAAATGTTAACTCCTTACTTTGAAGTTGCCCTTAGCTCAAACAAGGCAAGGTAGAAGCAAGTAGGAGCATTGAAAATAAGCAAGATAGGACACAGGTGCACAGAAGTAAAAAGATAACCAAGTCCCTGTCTTCAAAGTAGCAACATCAGCTCTAAATAGCTTGTTCTGTATGTATCCAGCTGATGAGCTGACAGATACTTCACAGCCCTCTGGCTGAGGATTTGGTTCTTATGCAAACCTATGACTTCAGATTGTATTCATGCAAAAGGATCTGGAATTTTTATAGAAGCAGATGCATCTTTTGGCAGGAGGTGCATATATGTGTGTGTGTGTGGAGGGGGGGCACATTCAAATTCAAATTCTCCTCTCCCTTCTCTGTCCCCACAAGGGAAATTGTTAACTCTAGGAAGACATTTATTTTCCCAGATCATTGTTTGCTTTTCCCAGTTTCAGAAATGCTATTGTACTTTGGGAATGGCAAGGTACAGTGATCTCCAGCATAGATGATAAGCAGAGTCTGGTTTGCCAACCTGTTGTAATACAAAATGTTCTTTACCATTTGGCAAAGGGAAAGTCTCAGTACAGAACTTCTCCTCACACAGAGCCTTCCACCACGCTTACAGATGTGTCACTAGCAGAAAAACTAAGGCTACCCTGAACCTGCAGAAGTATCGGTAGAGCTCATTCACCTTCTTCCTTACCCAGTTCAAACACAAAATGCTTTTTTTTTTTTGAAAGAATAAGTTAAATAAACTTGCTGGAAACATAAAACCATTTATTGCAATGAGTGAGAAATAAGATGCAGAAATCCATTCCTCACCTATAATCCCTGCTGGTTTCATGTGTGCTGAAAAAGTACTTCTATCAGCATGATTCCAGTCCATCATTTCTTAGGTAATGATCAACATTTTGTCTGTTATGCTTTGCCTCTTAGGCCTCAATTCAGCAAAGTATTCAGGTACAGTTTTATCTTTAGGTCTGCTACAGACTTCAGTAAAAGCATACGGTCTGAAAGAAAAGTGCTTTGCTAAATTGGGTCCTTCACAGGACTAAAGGGAAAGCTAACACAAGAGCAAAACAGTATTGCTTTCCTTCCAGTCACACTTGGTTTATTCACTTGCTCTTGCTGTGTACAGCTGTGGATTGCTGGCAGTGTGCTTGGACAGAATTTGCAGGATTCACAGCTTCAAAGATGAGATGTGCCAGCCTTGAAAACAAGCTTGTATAAACACAGGAAACAAAAGCATCCATGTAAACAAAGGGAGGTAATACATATATTCACACCTGAGCAAACACATACACTTTTACATGCAGCCCTGTATCAGCAATGCCTCCATCATTTCTGCTATTGCTTTTCTCTTTGTTTCATGATCAGAGAAGCACTATGGCCAAGCCTTCTAGTTTTGTAGCACACTGTAAAATGCATGAAAAGGTTTCAAAAGCTCTGACAGTGTCTCATCTCTACTGAACTAGCATGATAGTTGTGCTCAGGGAATGCAGTATGCTTCATATAATTGAATTCCTACCTTATTTTGTGTTGCCCATGTACTTTTTGAGTTTCTGTACCTTTTGCCTCTAAGCATGGATTTGTCAGTTGTCTTGCTGAGATTTTGGGGGCAGGGAGATGTTTGAGATTTGAAAAGACAATGACATTTTAAAACCTATCATCTAATTCAAAAGGCTTGTAGAGGCTGTGTGTAATCATAGAGATAGGAGGATCAGAAGTAGAAAAAACCTTAGCAAATATGGCAAATATTGAACATTTCTGAACTGTCACGAAAGAGTCACCAGATAGCTCAATACTTTAGGGGGAGGCTTCCTTGTAGTCTTTACAGCATCAGCTCCTTCCCTACCCTGCCACAGCCTATACCAAGAAGAAGCACTATCTCAATGGCTGTTGCTGGATGAGCTAGATGTTATTTCTTGCTCCATTACAGAGTGGCATGTGTAAATCACTATGAAGATGCTAGCTTTTTGGGGACTACCCATGGCCATGCTCAGTACCAAGTAATTACTGATCCTGGACAGCCAGAACACATGGAAACTGTCGTGTCAGAGCACACTTGATGGCTAGTTTGACGGGCTCCTGGATTATTCAGACTCACTGTCATCCCCTTAGAGTTGTATAGGCTGACCTTCTGTATAACACGAAGTCCTCTTTACTTCAATGAGAGGTAAAAACATTCAGCCCTGATCACAATTGGCTCAGGCTTGACATACGCTTCTGTATGAGATTTAAAAAGATTCAGTGTTACTTCAGGAGACTTCCAAAAGTTCCTGAGGGAGTTTATTCATGGAGTTAGATGCCTTCACAGGATGGACAGAAGTCAGCTGGGTTCCTAATTCCCATTAAGTTAACTCACACAAGTATTTTTGTAAGTCCCTCTTTGCACTAATCCCTCTTGGCTTCCCTTTCCTCTTCTCTTTCCCCTTCAATGTCTTAAAGATAGCATTTAGCATAATGATGTGTTGCAAGGCTCTACTCAATGCCTATAAAGTGCTTTTCAACTCTGGCAGAAGTGCCTAAGTGTACAGTATTCAGTGAAACTGGAAACAGTGGGGATATTTACGGAGATGATCTGCAAGTTCTGTCAGTCAGATACATTATTCTCAAATTTCCCTGGTGTCAACATCATATGGCTAAAAGAGGGTGCTGAATCCCCAGGGCTTTCTGTGCCTTTTGGCACTGCAATTAAATCCCCCAAATCTGATTCCCATTTCACCCATTCCTACGTGACTGAATCAGGAGATGTGGTTTGAGGGATAAATGAATAGGAGATATCTTAGCTAAAGCAACATAACTAAGTTTTAGTTATACTTTCTCTTCTTCAAAGAGAAGACAGATGATACATAAAGCAAATGAATTACAAAAGAAACCCAACACCAATCCCAACAAACAAACCCAAAGAAAACAAACAAACAAACAAAACCCAACCAAAAACCCAAACAAAAAAAAACCCAACACCCACCCACCCAACCAACTGAAAAACACCAAAACCAAACCGAACCAACACATAGGGAGTAGGGAAAGGTAGAAGCGTACAACTGACAAACCAGTAATTTGGTAACAGGAAGATGAAATACAGCAACTGAGTAGTTTATCAGATCATTCTATTAACCTGTAATGCAGCATTTAATCTTTTATAATTGAGCTTTCCATTTTGTTATTAGACCTTCATAGCTAAATTGTCATCTTTCAGACCACATCAGGATATGCAAGCAAGCACAGGGGTTCAGACACAATTCAGTCTCTTCATTTATTCTTCACAGAAGCTGCATCAGCCGCCATTTTACAATGTGTTGGAAGTCTTACATCCTCTTCTGACTGCATTGTGCTTATGAAGGAGACACCACTCCTCTACCTGCAGGCCACCTTCCCAGAGCTGTTCACACTGCTCCTGGGATCCTTCCCCACCTCCTTTGTGTCAAGACTGTATAGGTTTTCTAGAGAACTGCAAGCTACAATGAACTTATTTGAAATGAATTGCATTAAGGCATAGTACAGCTAACCTCCGCTCCTGGCAGGGTGTATGGATGAGTGTCTGGTGACATAAAGGCTCTTAAGTCAACACAGCTGCAGGTGAGAGAGGACATGTGGACAAGACCTTGCTCTCCCATCTGAGCCCATTTGGTTGTGTGAGGTAGAGCTATGATACAGTTTATGCTGTATCCATTTAGGCATTGACAGTGAAAAGGAAAATAATCATGTAGGAAAAGGACTTTAGCCAAAACTTTCCCTTTGCTCCTGGGCCAAAGAAAGGCTGGAAAGGTGGCTTCGATGTGGTGATTAGGGCAGTCATATGGTTAGCCTGGGTGTTACGAATATTAGAATATGTTACACGGACTTGGCACAACAAATTGAAAAGGATCCAGCTCAGACAGCCCCACTGGACACAGTGGCTAGAGGTGGGCTTGAATGCTGTTCTAATTTGGTGTATGCATTTTCATGTCCCAGCTGAGGCTCCTGAGGGGAAATAGGAAAAGGAGGGTCTCGCCTGTCAGTTGTGCCAAGTGTTAGCTGCCGCATTGCCTGCCTGCATCGGATTTGCATAATTTTGGCCTTTCTCAATAGCAGAAGTGCATGCACCTGGTGGGCTTTGATGGCAGAAGCAGGACTGCCTGGGGAATTCTGGCACCACCAGGGTCAGCTGGCATCTGGGAAAAGGTTCAAAGGCTCTAAATACTGAGCTTCAGGGACCAGCTTCTCTGTCCAGGATACAGTACAAGAGAATTGATCCTATTGACTATTTTACTGCAACGTTTGAACAAATATTACTTCCATAACTTTTGCAATTCTCAATCCACTTTATCCCTCAAATGTCACTAATCCATGAAAAATCCCACATTGTAACCACTCTTACTCCATTTCTTTCTCCTTTTCTTTTAGTTCCTGATGTACTCGTCCTTTTAAAAGAAGACAAATTAATAAAGTTTGTTCCCAAAACTCTGCCAATTATGTAAGTGGAGACTGTTATTAGACACATTTGGGAGTAAAAAGATGCCAAACTGCCTAAGCCATCAACTAATGACAGAGCAGATTATATGTAAAACTGGTTATATTCACATGAGTGATTCAGTGCAACATCCTAGGTCACTCCATGTCCATCCCTGTGTGTGTAACATAACTTATTTCATGAGGTAGAGAAGGAAGAAGAAAGTACTATTCGTTAATTGGAAATGGATTCCACCGTGCTGTTCTTGAAGTCCATGCAAGAAATGCTCTGAATTTAAGATGATATAAGAAAAAGACAAACTCGATAAGGAATAATGTATTATTTTCTGGCCATTAAGATGCTTTCACTGAAATATTATTGAGTAGTAACAAACAAACATGAAAACTACAGAACTGTATTTGACATGTCTTTTTAAAAATAAACAGACATGTTTGATTGTTTGTAATCCAGTATAATCCACTGTGTAATGTTAAATATTTTAAGAGAATTTTTATTCCATTTGTTCTCAGCATGGTTGGCCTGAAGCCAAAATGTGTTTTTTTTTAAAGGCAACACTCCACTAAGGGTTTTGAATTCCTTTCATGTTGGTTCTTCTTTTTTAGCATTTTGAAATTTATTGTTCATAGCAAATACACAAATGGAAGACAAAAAAAAAAAAAGACAACATATATCTCTGCTGCAGGTAAATTCCTGGTCTCATTTTCATTTACCAGGGTTCTGCAGCAGGAGGAACTCTATCTACAAGGTAGTTGCTAGGAGAAATAAAACAGACCTATAGGTACGGCAGAACAGTTAAAATCCTGCTTTTACACCTGAAAAGCCAAATTACAACCAGTTCCTTCCAACACTTCTCCCAGAGAAGAATAAGCGGGAGGGTTTCTTAAAATAAGGATGCCACTGGTTAAAGAACAGGTATAACCAGGTATAGACATCTGGAGAGAGTCTGGGTTGTCTGTGCACTGAAACTAGGCCCAGATTTTATCACTCAGCTTTGGATACACTGTTTAATAGCATTTTGGAGCCAAAAGACGAAGTAGATCACTTTCTGCAATAAACTGTTTTTGTCAGTAGAAGGGAACACAGGAATTTTTCTCTTTTAGGTTTTCATTCCCTGGCAGAGAGCAGCATGCTTTTGCTCCTCCTGGGGATGCAGCTAACAGAATTCGCTACGACTATTCTGCTCCTCCTGGTCCCAACGGTGTTTCACACACACCCTTTCCATTTGCCTCTCCACAACAGTCTGCCACAACCTCTTCCATCTGCTGTTCTCAATCTCACCATGTTTCGGATCTTGATTTTAAATATCTGGAATTAACCATGCCACATTTGAAAATCTGGGGCCTGGCCCCAGTATGTATTAGTTTGCCTTCCCACTCAAGAGGTATTTTGTCTCAAACAATCAAAAGGCACCACAAGTAAAGATTGGCTTTCATTGCATTCCAGTTATGGGGTGGCTAGGACACAGGTTATATGTTCCAGTATTATTTGGCAGGTGTCAGACTAGAGCCACGCTTTCCTAAATGAAAATGGAGATTCTATGACAACCACCCATCTCCAAGAGTTGCAACTTTAATTAAAATGTCAATTATTGCAAGACTTGTAATGAAATTACCAGTCAGCTGTGCCGAACTTCTGACATTTCTCCCCTACGAACGCAGGCTTCTAAAAGGGGTAACATCCTTTTCTTCCTAAAACTTTCTTCAGTGTAAAAATTAGCTGCATGAGCAGCTCAATTCTCTTGTAAGATATATGTATAGGCCTACAACCTCTTTCAGGATTTCTCCTTAATTTGTATTCATTCACAACCAGCAGAGAGAATGAAAAGTGTGGCAGGGAAAAACTCATTCCAGGAGTTCTGCAGCGCCCTGCAGCTTAGCAAAGGTAATTTGTGTAGTTACAACTCTTCTTTTATTGAACACATCTGCAGCAGTCATTGGATTGGGATGTTTCCTTTATGCCTCCTTGAGAGCTAATACATGTCCTGGGTGGAAGGTTGAATTTGAAAAATGTTCGTATAGCCTGTGACCAGCTATAGGAATACAAAAGCCAGACTATTTTGATCCTGTCAAACCACAGAAATACTACAACACACACACACAAAGAGAAACAATAGAAAGGACTCACGGGTAAACAGCTATTTATCTGTTATATCCTAAAGATTTTCTCATTAAGACTTGTGATTTGGTACAGGGATGAGCTGAGGAATGGGGTGGTTGCAGATCAAGCCTATAAATAACAACAAGTAAGAAAAACAGTTAAAAATTATACAGAGCTTCTTTCCTTGTCTAAAATAGAATTTATAGATTTCTACTATGAGGATGAAAATAAAATAGGATGCAACAGCTTTAAAGTGCAATCAGAAACAATTCAGGAAAAAAACCTAGTAGTGACTAAACCAAGTGCAGCTGCAGATTAAAGGCAGAAGCCACAAGGTTGATGTTACCCAACCAAAAGTATGAGGAATAGGGCTAGGTATTTAGAGTGCTCATGGGATACTGTCCCCTCACAGTGGCTGAAAAAGATGCAGTGGCAACATACACTCTCTGTTAAACCCAAGGGGAAATTCTGTTTGGCCAAGCCAAAGTTCTCTGCTGCTCCTTTCCCCTCCCTCCCAGGCTCTGAAATCTCCAGAAGTAAAATGGTGACCCATTCTACTTCTGATTTTCTTCCTGCATCTTTGCATTATAACATCCTTCCTGCCACACCTAGAACTGTGAGTATTATATTCACACATATCTAGGGAAAGAAAAAGACAGACATTTAAAAAGTGTAGATTCCACACTGTAGACATTTGTTGAAGTTTTGCACAATAGACCAACTGACAATCTTTTCTCCCCCAGCTGCAAGCTGAGCTTCCATCCCCCCATATCAGAAAAAGCACATGCATCAATTATCTGTCTCTTTCCCATCACACTCACAAAACAGGTGTAATAAAAAAAAAAGGTATAAATAACCTCGTAAAATAATGAGAAATCTCTCCATTTTGTAACAGTTTTGCTAATTTTAAATGGAATGGGGATTCTTTTTCCCTCATATTTAATCTGGTGTATACTTCCTAGGACATCATATTTTGTTATCAATCTACAGCAAGTATCAACTCAGATTACTACAAGGTCCTCCAGCAAATGCAGAAAAGAACTGACATTAAGAAGCCACACATTTTCTGTAGGGAGTCACCTTCTGCAAACCTTGCCTGGCCATAAGTATGCATAAAAATGCAGCTCCTGGGAAAAAAGACTGAATTCTTATCCTGGGGGAATGGGGGAGTGAAGCTGTACTATTAATAAATCCAAATGTTAGGCTTAACTCAATATGCAGAGGTTAGGCAAGGATGATATATGTTATTCCCCATTTGAGAAGGGATGTCAAGGCAGGCCAGACATTGCCATTTTTCGTTGACGACATCTCATTTTCCTTCATATGCTTATTCAGAAGACATGGCTCAAGTGCTTTTTAACTGGGAGTCCACACAGGAACCACAACCTAGCCCTTTCCCCACCATGTCAGTTCCATGCGTATGCAACTCCACTGAAGTGAAATGCTCTCTTTCCCTGTTTAGCCTTCAAGAGCAGTGATGCATGTTGTTTTTTCTTTTTTTATGATTGAGAAAACCAACTCGTATCTCACACCTTACATTGGAATTGGATATGAATAGGGAGCAATCCATCACTCTCCCAGATTCCCTGTGTACTAAGGAGCTGTTAAAGGAGCCTTAAAAGCCCCAGATGCTGCCAGGAAGGACATTTCCCTAGCCTTCACAGGAAGTCTAATTTGCACAGGAACTGAGCTCCACCCATTCTGCTCATGTATATTATCAGCACAGGATGATCTTGGACTTCTAGATGCAGAGATCTTGGGAGGAAGAGACTAATCAACAAAGCACAGGCTGCTGCAGTGACACACGGTAGTGATGGAGCTCCCCAGGACTGCTTAGGTTTTGTCAAGGGACACTTCAGGCCCCAGGGCATGCCAGAAGTCAAGGCTGCTTAAAGTCACCCTTGCCCATATTTCTCTTGCACCTCCAAATTACAGGCTGCACCTCTGAATTTCAGTCAGCCTTCACTAATGAACTGATGCTGCCTGTTTTGGCATGGGGCTTGTCCTTATGGTGCAAAACTGCCAAGAATAGGGGGCTGCTTCAAAAGCAAAAGTTATGCTGGGACTAAGAAGGCAGCTACAGACCTTGTGACCACATGCAGTCCCCTACCTCTAATGCTGCTCCAAGCAGACAGTACAGGGGAGGGACACCCACAGATATTCCTTGCCTGGCTGGAGAAAAAAACTGCCCCTTGTGATACCAGTTGATACGTCAAAGTGCCACTGGCATGAGCTTAATATAAATTCAATGAGAATGTACATCTGGGGGGTGTGCCCTGAGTCTTCCTCTTCTGGCTGTGTCCCAGGCTCACAGCTGGATAACCAGCTGTGTCTCCTCTCTGAAGCACTGCCAAGCTAGGAGCCTCTCTGCTGACATTCCTCTTTCTCCTTGCTGCTACTTCTCATTATTTTCCCTTTTCCACACTTCTGATGTATAAAAATTGCCCATCTGAATGTTACAGTCAAAATCTCATTATTGCCACGGGAAACACACCTTCTCTGCAAACCCAACAGTTAAGAGTTTATTGTTAGTCTAATTAACATTTCAACAGTAAAATCGAAATGGATCAAAGAGTTATTCTAAATCCAGTTATAATGATGCTAACATTTATAGTCCATATTATCTAATCATTGCTAATTCCCATTAATAGTACAATCCAATTTGTTAGTCACCAACTTCCTGGTAGCTACCTCTTTTTGTCATGTCATGCCTATCTTTCTTATGAGTAGCAGAAGCAAATAATTAGCACCTTCAGTTCATCACTGGAAGAAGTATGCGGCTGAAGGTCAGTTTCTTTTCAGTCCTGGATTTGCTTGGGATTTTCACACAGTTTGTTGCTAGTGTATTTTTCATTGGTGCCCAACATTAGTTACAGAATGATCAGTTAGGAGTTGTTGGAACAATT